CTAACACGACTTTCTTTTATATACAGGGTGACAGGTAAAGCGATACATTCCTTGAAAGGGGTTAAAGTAGAGCTTATTTGCAGTCATTTAAGTCATATGACACCTTGCCCGAAACTTGTTCATTTCCAAGTNTCAGCTAAAATTAGCGTTTAACGGGTTAATTGTAAACAAAAGGTCAAAGGTCCTACCTATCTTAATAACATTGTTTCAAGACCAAGTTAGCTAATATTGTTATAAGTAAATAAATGTTACTGTCATATTTTAAATAAAGAGTTATTATTGGGTTAACGATTAAGTACAAGTTCAATCATGTTTTATATTTTAGTTTTACTCGCCATGAAGTTACCCAGAAATAACTTATTATTATCATGACCTTTAGTTGTTCTTAAAGAACATTTATGTACCAGACTTGTGATTTTTCCAGGTAAAAATCTCCAAAACAAGGGAGGATGTGACGCGCCCTGCGACGCATCGACAGCCCTAGCACCGAGCGCGGAGATTTTGACAACCCTACGGCTGCGCGGCCGCACGCCGCACGGACCGAGTTAATATAAGAGACGGCGGCGACCGCGGGCGCCTAGCATTCGCTCGGGAGCCATCGTAACAGCCAGACGATCGCGCGCGCGTCTACGGCTAATTACGCAAGAGTCCCTAGCGAATAGCTACCCTCACTGTTCCCACTAACCTGGCTCGATAGGACTTTCGGCTCGCGCGGTTTCCGTGACACGAGCGAACCATCGTTGCCTGTATACACATCCCAATCCTTACCGAGTGCATGCTTTACTCAATCCCGACCTGCGGTAGCAATCCCGCTGCCACCCTTCCTTTATTCCTCCCCACTCGCCACGTAGGTCCTAAGCCTTTTTACCTTTGGTATTCGAATCCGCACTTCGTTAACCTCGGTTACCGATTTGGCGAGCGGACCATCCTACCCCCCTAGTTTATAAGTATCCAAACTAACACTCGCTAAACCTCGCACAGGGCGCCGCCCCTCTCGCGGATACGTAAACTAGTCTCGGGACGCGAACCGGGCGCGTCGCTATCCCTCTTGTCATAGTAGATTTGCAATTGTAGAATAACTTGTTCATTATTTAAATAATAGTAATTTAGAGTCAGTGAAACTAGAATAAGTAAACTATTGTGGAACCTGAATTATAAGTGCCATTGTGTTATTGATTGTGCGTTTCCTTGGTCGAATATCCCTGTAGGCATCCTGGATAGGTACACATCCCTCATCGCAGAAGGCGAACTGGGACTTAGTACTAATCAGCGGGGTGTCAGACTGAGCTAGCTTAGACGCCCCGTTGCAAAGTTTAGAGGGATAGTGTTTGGTTTTACGATCCCAGCCAATGTGTTGAAATCACTGCATTGTATAAAGTTTGGTGACAGTTCGTGCTAATTAAGACCTTTCCATAAGTACAATATAGGTGATAGTAGGTCTTAAGGTCTGCTCAAGCTGAGGCGAACCCCGCGCGAAACTCAGAGAGAACTCGAGCTAGGGAACTTGTATTCTGGATTGTGTTTATTGAAATATGTTTTGTATTTTAACCTGTAATCAGTCCAAGAATATATGAAGTCCAAGTCGCGTCAATTTTATGATCTATTGAATAGTGTTACTCTCGTTTCACTCGGGTTTCGCCTCAGTTTCCACAGTGGACTCTACAAGCGGAGACTAGGCCCATATCACGAAACGTCACTCAAAACTAGATCCAGACTCAAGTATCGATTCAAGTATGCTTGGGCCAATGACTGACGTCAATTTATTCTGGACTCTGGAGTCAAGACTAGTTTTGTGATTTCGAAATCTGAGCCAGCGTTCATGCAAAAGAGGAGCTTGGCGAAAAATGTGTGATTAAGTGAAAAAACGTTGTTGTGGGAAAGCTTGCCTTACATTGTCACTAAATTGTGTCTGTGTAATCATGATATAATTTCTTCATTGTAATGGAAACCATCAGAACTTTACGCCATTTTCTTCTTAAGCACGAACGCTTACAGAAACAAAATAGTCTCCTCCACGTTTATTCTGGTCTCAAAATTAAGACCGCATTGAAGATTAATACATTAAGATTATTTTGTCATTTACAGGAACTTAATAAAATTATCACAATTTTAGGAACATAATTAATTAGTGTTGTGTATGTATCTAATTACAGTATAGGATGACAGGCAATAGGCAATATTTAAGGGTAGTGCAAAGATCTTTAATTAGACCGCACTGCGTTAAGCGTGACCCAACAACACGCACTCACTTGCAAAATATAATACACCTCAATTGATATAGTTAAAGGAAAAATCTCTTAGGAGAATTTCACAAATGTAACAGTCAACCGGAAAATGTTCAATTTTCACAAAAAAATGGCTCAAAAAGTCTGTTGAAGCTAGAGAAGCTAATTACTACTAACTACAAAATAATGTATCTAAAAGCTTGTAAATATCTACTAAGATCATTTTCCAGAAACTATGTAACTAGGTATTACGGGTTATGGTAGTTACTGGCGCTTACTGCCCCATCGTAAAAACGAATTTGAAAAGTAGAATTTATTGTAAAGCTACCGCTGAAGGCAGTGGACGGGCTAATAAAATAAAATAATGATTAAATTTGATTTATTATTACAGTTTCTTGATTTGCTTCACATAATTAACGGTATCTATACAACACAAAATTCAGGATTAGTATGACCAAGTCGTAGATATTTGGACTGTTGTCCATATACATGGGCCAAGATCCAATCACCTAGCAAACCAAAAAACATTGTTATTATGCGGTAGTGGACCAGAACTTCGCTTGGTGCCACACGGGATTCGGGCAGCACGGACTTCAGCCGGGCTAGGATGCGCGCCGTGATAAAATCATATCGATGATTTTAGACGACAAATGTATGGGCTTATCGCGTGATTTGGATAAAATAGCGTGATAAACGCTTATCGCGGTGCGCATCCTAGGCCTACTGAACGCGTTTAGGGTTACCGTCCAACTAGATAAGTGGACATAATCCGATAAGTCGGACCCTGACCGGTTTTGTTAAGAACAATCTCCGTGATAATACGAAACTTTTGAAAGCTGCTGCTAACGGAGAAAGACATAAGCTGATTTGTAAATAAGCAATATTATATTTGTCTTATTTAAAAGGAAAATTGAAAACTTGAATCCGGTTTTCCGAGTAATTTTCATGGTAACTCTAAACGCTCCATTGGGGCATGCAGCTAGGTGCTAGGTGTCAACTGGCTGTCAAATCGCCATTTAGAACTCGGAGAAGCATCAGCGTGGGTATTGCTATGGTAAAATATGCCTTTTGCGCTTATAGCATGTCAACTAGCACATAACGTAGCTTTAAGCACCAAGCGAAGCTCTAATGGGATTAAAGAGCTATAAAGAATTACTTGCCGAAGTTCCTTTAGCTATTCTTATACATACCTACATCTTATATGTATATCTTTATCATAAATAAAAAAATCACACTAGTTCCTTTAGAAAACTAAAAGACCTAGTACGAAAAAGAGGCTAAGGAACAACTGCGAACAATCGGAGAGGGTTACACTTCAGTGCAAAAAAACGGACTTCATTCAAAAGCCTGGGGCCGATTCATGCGGTTAATTTAAAAATATAAAACGTCATGAAAAAGTGTAAAATTAACTGGAAGCATGCAGCGTGTGTGTGGAGTTATTAGAAAAGGTGTAAGTTATTGATATTATGTAGTTATTAACTGTTATTGATAAGTAAATTACTAATTTAATTGGTTACAAATTGAAATTGGCAATTTAATGCTCAAAGTAACACTACAGCTTTAAGGCACTAACAGGAATGCACTTCATACTTTATTTAATAATAATAAGTTTAAAAAAAAACAAAAAAAAAAAAAAAAACAAATTAAGTATTATTTGTAAGATATTACTAAAACTACTAACGCGTCAGTATTTGATTAATTATTTATAACTACTGACAGTCGATTGATTTGCACGCAAGTGGATATAAATACACGCTTTTGAAATATTTAAGAATACAGGGTGGTCCTACATAAAGTGCTATAAATTCAATTTTGTTGAAAGAAAATAATCTTAGCATCAAAACTACAAGATACTTGTGTTGGCAACAGTATTTTGATAAATTTTATCGTCGTGATGTTATTATTTTCAGTACAATTACCTTTTTTGCTTACGCACTTTATGCTGGACTTAGGTATACTTAGAAATGAGTAAGTATTAGAAATACTTACTTCAAGTTACTGATTGAATTAACAACATTTGAGATGACTGTCATGATCCGAAATTATTTGGTAACTGGTACATACAACTTCATACATTTTTTAGCTCTAAAAAGTAGGTATAATTTTAAAAGGTTCTGGAAGTAGTACTTCTAATACTTTTGAAAATTATTTTAAATATTTTTGAGTTAGTGTTGTAGAAGAATGTTATTATTAAAAACAGAGATTTATTTATTTATTAATTTAGGTGCTATTTAAAAAACCACACTAAAGTTTTTTTTTAAATATTATTTTCGATAAACCTCTGCACTCAAAATGCAATACTTTTTTTTATGTGTAATCTGTTGCAAAAAAGAGATAAATATTTTTTTTCCTTTCCAAATAACTAATTAATTAATTTGATGACTAAATAGAAACATATAGTAACTATACCTATCACATAATATTCAGGAGTTGTACTAGTAGGTACTTAAATTACTTAAACAATAATTTAAACTTTGGCTCTATTACGGCTTTAACTTATCTTTATCATTATGTATTATTTAAAGTCAATGAGAATGAAATTGACATGAGTATTTTATTTTACTACACATGTATACTGTGGATGTATTCTACTTCTAGTCACAAACATGATAATTTTTATTTATTTTTTTAATTTATTTATTTTCACAAACTTAATGATAATGATCGTAGACAAGGCAAGGACTCCTAGTACCTTTATTTAAGATCAAATCTATGTGTTAATATTACTCATCAATGCGTCCTTTACATAAGTAAAGATCTCAAAATTTTTGTTCATAAGATATTAACGCGTATTCACAAACATTACTATGACGTCTCACAGTGCGCGTGGGTGACATACGAACCAATCACTAGCTCTATTTACCGCTGTGCATTCAATTTACTGCTCCACTTAAGCAAGCAAGTTTGTAAATACGGGCGTAAGTAGATTCTATGGAGACCTTTGTCACGGACAGTATTTCACGTTAAAATAAAAAAAAACTTGCGTTTTCGTATTTTGCAACAGATTACAAAATCACTATAAACCGGTGGTCATTCTCATCTATCAATTCAATCACATTGTATATATCGAAATAAATTAGTATGTCAATAACCGTGATGAGTTCTTCGTAAAAGATTATTAGTAAGAGGATGGTGAAAGTAAAGCCACTCACATAGCTTAGCTGTTGGGGGTCTTCCTCGCCGGCCACCAGTCCATTGACCACCTTCGGCTGAGTACGGAATGGGTAAGCTAGAAAAACATATAATTTTCACTTACACAAGGATTTTCTGTTGGCATTTTCCCTGCCACTAATTGTACAGTAGTGTGGTAGTGAGAAGAAGAAGTTAGCCACATTATTTTATGTTTATTTCGTGCATCATTTAGGTATTTTGTGATTGTGAGCCATTTACAAATATTATGTTCTCCGTGGCATTAATAAATAACAAGTTAAATATTTATGATGTCTGTTAGTTCACACCACAATACAATTTTAAATCGATTTGTATACAGCTTGATTTCTAAGACACTCGCAAATAGTATTCAATCGAATTGAATACTAGTTAATAAACAATTTCTTTGTAGTATTTTTGTGTAATTTGAAAAAATAAATAGAATTGTGTTACTTTTAGTCTTTTTTTTTAATAACTAGTTAATAAGGTTTTCTAAGTGTCATTTCAGTTCCAAACATAAATATGTCGCAGGCGGTCAAACACTAAAGTGAAACGCAAGTGCGCCACCTAGCGGCGAATCGGCGCAACACCGCTTTGGCGCGCTTCGACAGAGTCGTAGCGGTCACGGCGGGACGGATCGAACTCACTTTCGCTCCGGACGCCGACAAGAGAAGACATCGTCACGGAACTGTCCCACGTTTCACCTAGTGCCTATTTTATCGCTCGACGAAGTCTAGATTGTAGTAGTTACTAAGAACTAAGTGCTGATTTTGAACTCTGTTTGACGATTATTAAAAGTGTTCGAACACAAGTCTCATTCTCATTGCACGATACCCTATTTCGCCCACAATATTTGAGGTTCGAATCCCTGACGAGCCGACAAATAGATAAAGAATGATCTACTTTTAACTGACAGTAGAGGTCTGGTAAAAATGTGTTTGAAATTGACTTACATGGTTTTGTGGGCTGTTCAGTGGTGGTCTTCGAATGGCTATTGATCTTTTCATCCACCTTGGCTGTAGAAGCAGTCGCCAAGTTATCAGGGGTCTCGGTGGTCTTGGCGGTGGCCTTGTCTGCCTTACCATCGTCGGGGGTAGTTCCTTTGGGGGTGGTGGTTTCAGGGACAGTCTCAACTACTTTTCCTATGAGATCTACATGCGACCTGAGCTGGGTTTGTGCTTTTAGATTCGTGATTTCCACGTTCTTCAGGACGTCTTGAGGGTGGGCATACTTTTCTTTAGGGTTCTCGCCATAACAATCATCTCGCACTTCCATGTAAGGCTTCAATTTCTTCTTCGATGTTGATGCTTCTTGGCCTGCTGGAAGGAAACATGTAACATTACTAACATTCGCGTATGCAGAACTTAAAATACACACACACAGCATAATACCAAAAAAAGACTGACAGTACGCAGCGGAAAGGAATAAAAATTGTTCCTGAAATTCAGCCGAGTTGCACCATCTTATTTCAACCGTAACAATTTATCCGGTGATTTTTGTATGTAGTTTGACAGATTTTTGACGTTTGTCAAAGCTAAAGTAAGATGGTGCAAGTCAGCCTTATACGAGTACGTCCAATCCCTACTAATAATATAAATGCGAAAGTAACTCAGTCTGTCTGTGTCGCTTTCACGCCTAAGCCACTGAACTGATTTTGATGAAATTTGGCATAGTTATAGTTTAAGGTCCGGGAAAGGACATTTTTTATCCCGGTTTTTAAATAGGGAAGCGCGCGATAATTCTGTGACAGACAAAACTTCACGCGGGCGGAGGCGCAGGAAAAAGCTAGTCAGTAGAATAAAAACGTAATGAATTCTGTTTATAGAACTTTGAAACTGACATTATCAAAGTCAGGAAACTATGTATTGGTTAACTACAAAGATTAATGTCCTAGTAAGTATGTTAAGCTAGTAGATCGAACTAATTTTTGCTATTCTATCAATTCCATCTAAATCCGACCCAGCTGTTTTATTCTAATAGCGTTATTAAAGATGTGTCAATATTTTTGAGAGAAATTATGCTAAACTAATAGCCCGCAGAATCGCTAAAATCAAGGGGTAGTTGGCGGGGCACATAGCTCGTAGAGCTGATGACCGCTGGGGCACGAAAGTTCTTAATTGGCGGCCACGAGCCGGAAGACGTGGCGTGGGGAGGCCTCCCACTAGGTGGACTGACGATCTGGTGAAGGTCGCGGGAGGTGCCTGGATGCGAGCGGCGCAGGACCAGTCTTTGTGGAAATCCTTGGGGGACGCCTTTGTCCAGCAGTGGGCGTCTTTCGGTTGAAACGAACGAACGAACTTTCTAGATGTTTCATTCGATCCTGGATATCATTAATGGTGAAAAGTCTTTTATGTCGAATATAAATGTAATGATTAATGCTTGATGAGGTTCCGTCAAATAATTCCTTAATAATTCCTTCCTTGGCGTGGTCTTTGTCAATTGCTTTTTCATCAATTTCTGGATTCTATATAAAAAGATTGAAATAGATCTCGAACCTGACAGGATTCTTTTTATCATTTAAATAATTTGGTTCCTTCATCAGACCTATACCAATGTAGCGAAAAACTATTAGAGACAACGAAGACAACTCCCAGTCAATGGGGTTGGCTCTAAACTTAACAAAGAACTCTTTTTTTTTTGAACCCTACTACGAGTATTAACTCAATTCAAAATCGGAAAACCACCTCTCGGTTCCAATTCTACAGACATGGTTGATTGTTTTATTTTATTGATATTAGGTCGTAGTACATCTTTAAAGGTGCTTACTTGGATGAGGAGACGCGACAGTAGACGACCAGCTGAATGTATGACAATGATCGAGGCAATGCTTCAAACAAAGGGGAGGCAGGGCATCTAAGGACTCATAGCTCCGGACCCTCTAGACTGACGGAGACTGATATATGGACCAACTTTGGTCTGTGAAAGAACAGACAGACATGACGAATCTATAAGGGTTCCCTTTTTTCCCATTTGGCTACGGAACCCTAAAAAGCGTGAAGACGCACAATAATGACATGAATACTGAATATACTTTCATTAACTGTGAATGGGGTAATTATTTGATGATGATGTATGAAATGACTCTACAGGATTTGATATGAGAAACAGATGAAATATTTGGGATTTTTTTAATTTTATTAACGTGGGAAAAAATGCATTGAACTGCATACCCGTGATCATGGATATGTGGGGCTCCCCCCTCCGGAAGGGAGAGGCCTACCCACTAAAACAACCCACGGGCAAAGGAGAATTGGATGTTTACTTTGACTGTCTGCTTGCTGGTCTCTTTTGAAAATAGTTTTAGGGTTGTGTGAAGCAGTTTTATAAAATTACTCTTTGATCTATTTGCCGTCAGTCTAACTAAATATGTTATGAACTATGACTAAATACATATGCATGGAACCGAAAGGTGATTTTTACTTTTAATTTTTGAAACATTAAAATGTGATTATGTGAATTATACATGACATGCTTTACGATATTTCGTATGAAAAACATCTTATGTTTCAGCAGCGTGCTACAGCCTGCGTGCGCGATGGCGATCAGCACCTCAGATGGTAGCGATGAGTTCGTTCTGTATTGGTCGCCGCGATCTATGCGCACGCGCAGTGATCGCCATCGCCATCGCCGACGCGATCCGCAGGTGGACGAGTTAAGTGGGACAAAATGACTACTACCATCGTATCCTAAATTTAGAATAAAATTTAGCTTTTACATAATATAAACTTTATTTTTCCCTACGGACGATCGATACCTGCTCTACTCGTAGTATTATAGGACGATCAAATCAATTAAAAATGCCAAAGTTTTTGGATTGATTGATTGAACAGGTGACAGGCGTTTGTTTGTCTCTCTTTCCGATGCATGGCGGTCGGCTTTTGCTACTGCATGTTCAGATGGCTATTTCCACGATACTGCATGTTCAGAGGTGGAATTGTGTAAAGCAATCGTAATCATTTGACAGTTCATAACGTACGATGATTCTGTCAAACGCTTTGTTTAACTGACTTTATCGTACGTTATATGAACTGTCAAATGATTACGATTGCTTTACACAATTCCACCCCAGATGGCTATTTCCACGCTACTGCATGTTCAGATGGCTATTTCCACGCTACTGCATGTTCAGATGGCTATTTCCACGCTACTGCATGTTCAGATTGCAATTTTCACGGTACTGCATGTTCGGATGGCTATTTTCGCGCTACTGTATGTTCAGATGACCAATCTGTTTCTTCTTCCATTTCGAGCCATTATCGCTAAAGTCGTAACCAGACATGGTGCCAGACATGGTGCCAGACATGCCCAGACTAAGTAAAATTCTATAAGATAACTATTTTCTTTATTCTGTTTCATATTTTATGAACCTATGGTGCCCCGTTCTTGGGATTGATTCGTTCGTTCGTTCGTTTCAGCCAAATGACGTCCACGGCTAGACAAAGGCCTCCCCCAAGGTTTTCCATAATGAACGGTAATGCGCTTCCCGCATCCAGGCTCTTCCCGCGACCTTTACCAGATAGTCGGTCCACCTAGTAGGAGGCCTGCCCACGCTACGTCTTCCAGCCCGTGGTCGCCACTCGATAACTTTCCTGCCCCAACGGCCATCGTCTCTACGAGCTTTGTGCTCCGCCCAAATGCGTAATAGAATCTGCTGGAATTATAAATTATGATTCCAGCAGATTCTATTACGCATTACTTTGCATGGTCTTCTAAATGGTTATTCCCATTTTTAAATAGTCCCATTTTAGACCAGGTACCAAAGAACCTCTTTGATTTCTTTATTGTTTGCAAGGACCATTACGTAAAAACTTACAATGTGTCGCCTGCAAAACTTGAAATCGTCTGTAGACCATACTTTGAGTTCTGTCCACTAAAGGACTAGGGACTACTGATTGGGAAGACAATTCATACAGACATTAAGTTAATATACCTAGCGGAATAGAGCAACAAAGAACTGAGCGAGCGAGATGCCACTATAGCAGCAATATTGTGCGATTGAACAGAACCATTTTTTTACAACTATTTCAGAATTCGTTAGGACTTATTTTCATCATCCTCATCATTTCAGCCACAGGACGTCCACTGCTGAACATAGGCCTCCCCCAATGACTGGATGCAGGCCGCTACCAACCGTGCGATGTGGAAGTCATTGGGGGAGGCCTATGTTCAGCAGTGGACGTCCTGTAGCACTTATTGGCACGCTGAAAATTTGAACTCTAGAGATATTTTCACATTTTACGTGAGTGGAATCGTGGATGTTTATGAGAAATAGTGCTTCAAAAACGTGGTGAGTGGTTCAGTGATTGATTTATTGTTCAGAACCATAGAGATATAGAGAGATACCAACTAATGCGCTGAGTTCGAAACTCAGTATCACATTAAATATTCACATACACAAAGTAATCAAAATATGTGCTCATTATCCACTGCGGTATTAGTACTCAACGTCCGAAAAATCTTTAGTACCTACCTACTACGTAAGCAATGTAAACTATTTATATTATGACGTCGCTGCTGTCATCATTGCTGTCACGAGCAATGAGAGTTTTTGGGCATATTGCTGCGACACCGCCCCCCCCCCCTGTCACATCTTCCTTTAGTTTCTGTGTGTTCAAAACAGTGAAATAATCCTGACAACTGACACACAAATGACATCTAATAACATCCAAAATCGGTTTCGTTTGACAGCTCGTGGTTGCAGCTCTACTCCGAAGGAATAATAACTTTATGGTCAAAGCATAGGCCTAATTATTTTCATCTTTTATCTGAGCATGGCATCTTCTTACCGTTACCGTAAAAAAATCGTTATTTTAAATATAAAACTGGTAGGTAAGTATGGATGAAATATTATAATAACTTACAATTTATCCAAATAGGAGGTAAATAAAGAAGTAGTTTTTATTTTATTTATGAATTCGCTAAAGACAAATAAACGGAATGAAATGGTAAAATATATGTGAAGTCCATACGAGTCGTACAGGCAGAGAGAAATTATGTTACTTCTTAGTACATAATAGAGTCGTATCTTAGGTTAGAAAACAGTAAACATTTTGTAGCAAAAAAGATCCATCTTTTAATACATGCAGTCGTAAGTATAGTTTTTTTAGCTTTTAAGTACTAGTTCAACTTAAGTGTGAGTGGATTTTCAAACGGGAAAAATGAGGAGGTAGGACTGAGGTCATTAGTAATTCGAAGCGCAGCAAATCTAGGTCTAAATTATAAGTAAATTAATTTAAAAGGTGACGTTAAAAATAATGATTTTCTTCTCTTAAGAAGAATGATGTTGTGCCAACTATTTAAAACTCAAGAAAAAGCACTG